AGTTCAGTTATAACAAAACTACGTTACTGTCCTTTTAAAGAAGGAGTCCAGATTAGCAATTTGGTGAAGAGGCAAGAGGGAAGGAGGGGCGGCAGGGAGGAAAGCAGTCTGCTTCAAATCCTGGCTGGAAATGTCTGAAGACCGACTCACAGCTCCCGGTGCTCACCGCCCTGCAAGGATGGGATGAATCTCATTGTCTCATTGCCTTACCTTCTAGTAAGAATGGGTCAAGTCGCAGATCGTTTAGCGCTTTTGAATAGAGCGCTTTTGAATTTAGCGCTTACCGAGGAATGAGCTCTTTTCTGGAGTGCTGGTCAATGATGGGAGGAATCGGAAATCTCCGAGCACTTTTGAATTGAGCGTTTACTGAGGAATGGAGCTCTTTTCTGGCTTGCTGGCAAGTCTAGGGCATTAGGCTTTCCACCTCGCCAGCTAGACCCGCAGGGATTTGAGGGCTTGTTGCCTGGCGCTGCCCGTGCCCGCTGGAGCTCCTCATGCTGCGCTACTGCTGACGCCATCTGTCTTGCACCTTATTTGGTACTATATGAATATTCAAGAGGTCTGGTTTCTGAATAGTCATAATGTAATTGCTTTTCAGAAAAGGAAAATTTTTTAAGGTTTATAGAGAACATCAAATACTATAATAACACTTGGAATTCTGTTGATAGGGCTGTCAGCATACAGTACGTGCTTGAAAACATACTTGTTCTTCAAAACATCTGGTATAGAGTTATAGAAGTGTATATAATTAAACTCTTGTCAATGTGATAGCTTCTGTCCTTGGGAAGTAATAATATACCATCCCTCTGAAGATCTGATTATACACATATACCCTCAATTGGAAAATACTCTGGTGAAGAAATGGGAGGAATATGTTCTTTTGCCTGAAGAGAAGGCTGTGATTTGAAAATTGATTTTATCTGTAATATTTCAAAGACACAGAATGCCCCAGGTTTACTGTATCACCGTTTTTAGCCCATATTCTTGAATAAATCCAACTATAACTATCTATATTGAACATATTACTGCTGAAGGTAAATACAATATACAGAGGTATTCAGTAAATATGCTTGAAAATTGTCACAAGTTTCTATTTGCACACTAAAAAAAAGATTCCTATAATTATGTGTCTTAAAATAGATTTAATTCAGACTAAATTGATGCAATGTTAAAGATACTAGGGATTTATTGAGTAATCTGAAAATTCATTTGTCTTAACTATACTCCTATAAGATTAAAAAAGCCTTAATAAATTACAGTATTGTGGCTCAACGTCCTCCAGAAACTGTGAGGAATTCGGAAAATTCATGTGGTGAAGTCTCAGAGAAAAATCCAGACCCATGAATCCAGATTGTCTTTGTGTTAACTCATTTTCTCTCTGTGTTTCATTTTAAACTCTAATTTAAACATAGTGTTGTAGCTCCAATTCCCGAGCCTGTGCTGTTAGAGGAAGAGGACTTGGAAGATGAGGAAGAGGACCTGGGAATGCCTTCCTCCCCAGGACCTTCCTCTCTGGTAATGCCTTCCTCCCTGATAATGCCTCAGGTTTCATCAGACAGCCGAGAGGAACAGCCTGAGATTAATCAGAAGGAAGGCATATTGGAGCAGCCCCTGACAGGGAGTCAAGAGGAAGAATGTTGGCTCGATCCTAGGCAGCATTGTAGGGAGAAACGTGAGCAGCAACGTAGGAAGCGTGGGAGGGTCAGAGAGTGAGCTGAGTCACTGAGCCACACCCCACAGGGGATAACACACAGGGTGTGTTGTCGGCTGGAACTTTGTATGGGACAAAGTTTAATCTTACTTCAGATTTTCTTTGTGAATGATTTTTGTGGTCTGCCTTGTAATTGTCTGTAAGTAGCTTTTTACTTGTTATCAGTTCGGACTTGGCAGGCAGAGCGTGTTGGAATGCCAAGGACGTTATCAGTTCCAAATAATTAACTCTGTGAAGTCCGAGCCAGCTTGCCTGCCTGTGTTTGTGTGAGTTTGTACTCTTTCATCTTTTGGGAAGAAGAAAGGTGAGACAGAACACATAGTACTCAACAGAATATCAAAATAGCTGATAAGGCACAATAACATTAATACTTTTTAAAGTATATCTTTAGTATGGTATCATTTAACATACCACCAGTAAGATAAACATTTTAAAATATTTTAAAAACTATTTTTAGAACCTAGAATGAGGAAGAATACAAGAGAAAATGCTCCCGATGAAGTTCTATTGCTTATACATCTGCCATCTTTTAATTTTTATTGGTTAGCATTTTTAATCTATGCATCTCATAGAATACTGAGATTCAAGCTATTACTAAGAAAATCAAATAGTCTGTTCCTTTTTATTTTAGTTGCTCAAATTTCTAAAATATTGTTATAAATAAAAGTTGCAAAACTTGTAGAACTGTAGAAAAACTGATTTGTTTTGTTAGTGGGGAAAAGTGGTGGGGTAGAAAGATGATGTTTGCTTTCTCAGATAGAAGTTTAACTGAACTTTTAAAAGCAGACAAACCAGATTAAAACAAACAAGCTATCAACTTTGGATTCAAAGGCTCCTCTCCCTAGTATATACTCTGACTCAGTTCTTATTTATATGTTCTATCTATGTCTTCTTCCTATTTCCTTACACACCTACACGAAAATGAGATATGCTAACCTAGAACCTGCATTCAAAGAGCAGATTTGAAACCAAGCTTGCCTAATAGTCTACTTCAGCTTTCTCAATCTGTTGTGTTACATTTCACATCTTTCCCAGAAAACATGTTCACAATATGAACGTTTCACTATTCTATTTCATCAGATTATTTGTTTAACTTATAAATATATTAGATTAACAATAATGTCCCATGTACCTTTTAGTTGGAAGTGCCATCAATTTAATTTTTTAGAGGTATTTCATCACTGAGCTATAATACATTATTGTATTATACAATACAATATATGTATTAGTACCATTAAAAATCTTGTTAATATAAACTGTAGACTATTGTGAAATTAGGGGAAGGGCAGTAGCTAGATAATCTTCCACACAGAATATCTCATGCTTTATCTTGAGTATGTCTAGATAAGATTGAAGCAATCTCTGGTATAAATGAAGCCTGAAAAATTGCTGACAGTTCCACTGTACAAAATCAGATATCAATGACCTGACTTGTAATATGTTCTTGTTTTATTGTACCACAAAAACCATTATTTAATGACAATATGTGCAATGTTGATATGTTGATTTTTTTTATTCAATTCCATATTTTTAGTTGCAATATTATTGATTAAGGGTGTTTCTCAATCCTGGCAACATGAAGATATGTGGAATTCTCCTCTAGAATTCCTCAATTAGCAGCCCATCCATTTTCAGGTGGTCAGGGTTGAGAAACATTGGTGTAGACTAACCCGCACTCTTCTTCTGATACTTTGCCAATGATAACACAGCCGTCAAGCCTCTCTTACTTGTGCCTAGGCCATCTTCTAAAGATGTCAGAAATTGTTTCTGAAATTGTGAATAAAGGCTAAAGTTTAATGGAGCAAAATCTATTGTTAAATCACCTTTATTCATTGGCATACTATAATAATTTGCTTCTGCAAAGATTAAAAGGAATGAGAATGATTAAAAACTGAAAAGTTTAACAGTAGAAGTTCTTTTAAAAAAAAACTTGGAAAACATTCTTAGATATGTTTGATCTACATGCATATCGACACACAGTTTTCCACTCCAAAGATCCTTTTCTTTTTCAATTTTCTTCCTACTAACATCTCATTGTCTATCATATAATTAGGCTTCCCTAAATGTGGTAGCCTCCCTCCTTTGGCCTTGGCTCTTTCTCCCTGCAAATTTAGAGTTGTACTAGTGTTTGCCAACCAAACATTTTGGCACAAGTAAGAAGGGAAGCTTCTATCTGTTTCAACTCGTATTTGTGCTCTTCCGAAGCCCCTTGCAGTCCCTCTACCCTGTTTCTATGATATAATTTATTTTTCCATTTAAGCCCTCAGGATTTTGTTTCATGATAAATGATTTAGTTAGGAAATACATATTGGATATTATGACTTCATGATACGTTATAATCACTGGGTCTGATTAGAGATAAATGTTACAAAGCTAAATCAGAATAAGGGTAAATGCTTTCTGTCATCAGTTTTAGAAATGATCAGGAAACACTTTTGCTGTCTCTTACAATATTTTTACAGTTGTTGAATTGTAATGAAAAATGTATTTGGGAGACATGAGGGAGAGCTACATGAGGAAAACCATGCAAAAGATATATCAGCCCACAGAAGGAGAGAGGATGTGAGAAACGTTTTCTTTCCTGGTTTTCCACAGAGCAAAAGAACGGGAGAAATACTTTCAGTCCTGTAAAATTCCATTAATGTAACCCATCAATAAAAATAGAGTGAGTACCTGGATGTGCTTGTCTAAACTACCTCAAAGGGTTAATTTGAAATCTAATAATACCTTGGTTTTATTCAAATTTCTGCCTCCTTTTGAGCTGTGTTTGCTAAAGACAATCTTTCATAGATATTGATTTAAAATGATTAATAAATTGTAAATATTCTGTCTATCATTTTGTTTTCTTATAAATATTATGATTATTGTCCCATTATATTTACATCTAAAACCTCCTCTTTTTAATCAGGAATTTGTCCTCATGGTGATGAACCTAAATGAATTTCCAGTGAATAGCAGAAACATGAGGCAGGTACAAATTAGATAAAACTAAGCTGTAATTCTCAAGAGACAATATAATGATGTGCATGTACATCACACCATTAGAAAATAACCAGTATTCCAAAAGTAGTCTTGTAAAACTGTTGATTTATTTTTAAAGGTTAATTGCAAATGTGATCTAGAAATTTCTAGACAACTATTCCTTTATAACAATAAATTACCTCTAGCATTCCTAATCAAGAAGGAGAAGAAAGAATGCTGAATAAGCACCTCTATGAATATGCAAAGACATTTTCAAGAGCAAAGTACACATGACATAGAGTTAATCCTTGAAGATAATACAGATTTCACTTTACCTGACTGCACAAGTCCAGGAAGGCTGGAAGTGAGGGATGAAGTGTTTAAGCTTTCTTCCTTGGACCCTGGTGACATTATTGATAATTTTTAGAGAAAACTATGGATCTGATTCTGATGAAAAAAATAGACCCAAAAGGAACATCAATCAGGCACAGTGAGTACCGTTCTTGACATTTTGCTTGAATTCATATAGATACAGAAAAAAGTTGTCATAGGAATAGAACAAATTATGTAGCTTCATTAAATTTTTTAACAATGTATTCTTCCCTTTGACATATCAGGCCTCGTATGTCATCCGAAGGAGGCAATTTAGTCTTCTACACTGGCTCTACCAAGAATATTGAGTTCAGAACTGGATCACAGGGCAGAATAAAACTTAATGAAGAAGACCTTGCTGATGTTTTCAGTCAGGTAATGATTTGGATCTGTTCTTCATGACATTATTAATAACATTATTACTATCTAAATATAATTTTTCAATAATGCTCAAAGGTTCAGAAAACCAGATTTAAATAAGTTGACACATATGTGATGATTCATATACAATCATATGAATCATCACATGACAGAGTTCTCTTCAATCACTGAGAATTATGTTTGCTGCAATTGAGAATTGGTTATTCCTTTTCTTTCTAATTATAGATCCAAAGAAATAAAGATGAAATTCTAGAACTAAAAAGACTCACCAACACACCTCTCAATCTTTCTAGTGAAATCATCCAGCTTCAATCCCAGGTATTTTTTAATATCTCTTATGTATCATATATATTGTGCATCAAATACAAATACCACCATTTAACTATTAATTGTTTAATTTGTTGTCCTGCAAAATAGTTTTTATGTTCTGTTTGTGAATCCTACATTTTATGCCACACAAAGAGCAGCCTATGATATCTATCCATTTATATATTATTTTTATTTGCCATAGTTGATCTACAAAGAATAAAATCTATATTTAACTACTGCCAAATATGAATTGTTTGAATTAACTGTAAATTTTTAAAAGAGAATAATTCATTGCTTGTTAATGGATTAATATCTTAACTATTGGACAATTGGATGTTGGTTGGGACCAGTACTACTTTAAGAATAAGAAGGACACTTCATGTAGATGAAGAAATAGAATCTGAAGGGTAATGAAGTGTTAAAAGGATTGCATAGACCAGGGGTGTCAAACTTGATTTCATTGAGGGCTGCATCCGGGTTGTGTTTGACCTTGGGGGCCGGGTGGGTGTGGCCAGGGTGGACATAGCCAGCTTGACATCACTTGTGTCAGGGGCACCCCTCCCAGGCTTCGTTTTTGACTGTGACAGCATCCTGCAGTACCAGAGAAAACAGAGCTCGGGAAGGCCACATGCAGGCCTTGAGTTTGATACCCTTGGCATAGACTTCTCCTGGATTTGTAGAAAGCCTTCATCTTTAGTAGAGGAGAATGATCCATTTAATTATTTTGAAACATGAACACCTACAATTAATGCAGTAAAAAAAAATCTTTGTTGAATATGTGTATTTTTAAAATTCTTTTTTTCCCAATTTTTTTATTTCAATCTGCATATGCACAACAATACATTAATAGTGTGGCATCAATATATCATACATTTTAGTATAGGCAAAATTAATAATATCAATCATATCTCTCAACGCATATATTTCACATTATTTCATAATCCTTCAATGCTTATTTTCAACCTTTCAAAACTCTCTCCAAATGCCTACCACCATATCAGTTAAACATAGTAATTCCATTATTCAATTTTCTCCCTGATTTTATTTTATTTTTTAAAATAAAAACATTCTCATTTGGCAAGCAGTGTGGTTCCAGGTTTCACATCTCAATACAAACATGACCATAATTACCTGTTCATTATATTTGTTTAGTTTCATATTGCATCATCATTATTGTTAAATATTAAGCTTATCTTATCCAATTCCAATTCATGTTATATTAATACATTCTCATATCTTATTTTACAATGTTATCTAAAATTCTCATCTCATTTCTGTTGTCATTTCTCATATTACTTTTTTCTGTCACATTTGTCATTTCATCAATCCTTATCTGTAAATATAATTGTCCCCTCTGGTTAATAATTCAAGCTAACCACCTTCATTCTACCCTAATATCAATCTCCCTATCTAGTATATAACACAAATATATATATTTTTCTTAGATTTTGCATTATATTTTCTCAAACACCTTATGAATCATCTATACATTACAAAATACTATTTTCAATATATTCTTATAAATCACAACATATTACCTTGCGGAATCTCCTTCCTTATCCTTTTTTTCCCCACCCATTATCTCTCACTCTTTGGATAATGTACTTTCTTTTCATTCTTGTTTGTTTCCTATTCTTCTTTTCGTTTTCTGGTCCTCTCTCTTAATTCCCTTTTTTCCCATTCTTATTCCCCTCCATTTCTCATTCCAGTTATTAAACTTTTCTCTCTCCCTCTTTGATTTTTCTTTTGTCCTTCCTTTTTCTGCTTTTTCCCTCTCCCCTTATCCATTTTCTGAACCATTCTCCCTTTTATCATCCCATCAGACCACAAATTTTTAATTCTAATTCCTTTCCCCCCCTGTTTAAATAATTGTTGTTCATTTTGTCTTTCAATGTTGGCTTCTTCTTTATAGAACTCCCCCCCCCCTCTGGTTTATTTTGTTCTTGCTAAGTCACCATTTCTAATTTCTGTAGTACATAATTGCACATTTCAAGTTTAATTTTTATCACGTCCCTTATATCTTGCAGATCCAATCTTGACTCTTGTAAGTCCAATCTTATATCAACAAATAGTTTCTCCATTATATCTTCTCCTTTTTTCCTTTTCTTTACTCTTCTTTAATAGTTAAAATCCTCTTCTTTAATAGATATATTCAATCCCAGAGTCCAGTATATTATTTCAGCCAATATCTTTTGAATTTATTTTCAACAATCCATACTCTTGAGTCTTTGTTCAGATGGTTCTATAACAATAATAAAGTTTCTTTTATTTTCTTTTAAGTTCCAAAATCCAAACTCTTGAGAAGACCAGATACTTTTTAAAATGTACTGAACTTTTCCTATGCCATCAGGTGGCGCTCTTGAGTCTTTTTACCTTTACTTTCTTTATTGAATATAATACTTTTATTAAGTTTGCTAATTTCAATCATTAGCTATTATTTCTTTTCTTTTCAACACACTCAATTTCAGCATTTAATTATGCTCTTTAAGTGCCCACAATTCAATAGTTATCCAGTTTAATTTCTAAACCTTTGTTGTGTTAAAGTATTTTCCTTTAAATTTTCTCCTCCAAATTAATCCAATCCAAGTTTTATAAGATCCAATTTCTTTCTCTGGTCGCCGCTTCCACACACTCCCCTCCAAGATAGCCCTTTATTTTAATACTGGGGTACCTCAAAAGCGATGTCCTTTGCCTCATTCACACTCTGCTCGCTACTTCTCTGCTCCAGCACAAAGAGTGTTCTTTGTCTTCATGGTGGCCATTTTAGGACCACCGCTGCAGCTTGCCTTCGGGAAGGATTTTCCTGTCAGGGAGGGGAGTTGCGACTCCCCTTGACCCTCCAGGCAATTTCCCCCTTCTTCACCACCCCACCAGGATGGTTCTGGTCTCGATCGGGACCCTCCAATGTAAGCTCCGGTGAAACCACGCACAATTGCGGATTCCACTCTGACTCCGATGAGGAACAAACCGGAAGTCCCATGTATTTTTTAAACTCTTGAAATTCTAAAATTCTCAAAGTAGATTCTAAGTCAGTTAGAATTCAATTTACCTGAAATCTGAAAATATTCATAAAAATTGCATAAATGTAACACAGAAAATTGCATTAAAAGTTTTTTTCTATGGGACTTTGTAGATTTTTTATTAAAATTATGAAATTGGATAGAACAGAGTAATATATGATTGTGACAACAAATACCATAAATTCATGCTAATCCACATGACATTTTTTTTCTGCTGCAGATTGTGAATATTGAAGACAGACTTTATAATCTTGAGCTGGTGAGTTACATGATTTATACCTTTTATGTACTTTAGGGTTAATTAATTGCCAGAAGTAATAATCCTAAAATAATGACTTTATTTTTGCTTTATGTTTTATTCCAGACCTTCTTTAAAAAGGCCTGTAATAGCAACCCTTGCCAAAATTCTGGAACCTGCATAAACCTACTAGATGCTTTCTTTTGTCTTTGTCCCAACAATTGGCAGGTAAGGTTCTTAATATTGCAATGTATAAAATGCACTTTGCATTTTCATTTTGCATTACACAAGAGTCAATCCAGTGCAATCAATCTAATTTATAAAAGGAAATCAGAAACTAGTCAAAGGAGAGCTTTGCAACAGAACATGCAACAGAATAATGTGGTGCAGGAGATATTTGTCAATAGGGTAGACTAGGCAGAAATTATCAGTTGCCATAGATATTAAGAGAACTACAAATTGGAGGTATTGTATACCTCCAATAATACATAATTGTTCATCCTCCTTAGGCAGTGGAGTCAGAAGGAACATCTATTATCCAGGCTGTGAAATTCAGTTGCACTTCTAGTCCATTTCTGCATTCTGTCCTTGATCTCAAGCATAATTTGTCTTGGTCCAGACCAGTGGTCATATACTGTAACTTAGAGTGCATAATTCTTTCTCCAGATTTTTAGACCGATGTCTTCTTGGTCACTTGCCATTTGAGATCTTTCTCTCAGAGATGCCAGGAGTGGGATTTTTGGCGTGCAAATTTGTATTCTGCTCTTGACTTCCATAACCTTCCCTTGTATTTAATACCTGACAACTGAAAATCTGATTATTTTGAAAAGTATACCAAGGATGGTTTAGAAGGGAGCTACTTAGTGACGGAAGCCTTAGGTATTGAAAATGCATGTGCTAGCCAGCCCAAGAATTTTCAGTTGCTTACATTTGTTTGTGTTGTGATGATTCTTAATTGAAAAATATACAAGAGAGGGTCGTTTAGGGGAAAAAGTGGGAGGAGGGAGCAGAAATCATCACCCCAGGTACAAAATTACAGTTTAATTTGTGCAGACAAGCATTTTCTTTTTTAAAAAATTATGAATATATATTGGTCATCTAATATTACAGCAGCAGCTTAATTACCACACAAATGGCCCTATATATAATATATTTTTTCAGTAGAATGTACATATCTTTGTATATCTAGTATCAATTTTTTAAAGCTTATAAAATTTTTTTAAGTATCTGAGCTGATTCTCAAAAGAGTTTTTGTTTTTTTACAGTATTCCTATGCTTTGAATTAAATGAAAATACACTATACTTAAATGAATAAGGAAGGTGCAGCCACAAAACCAAGTTTTGTTTTATTCTTTATAAAGGAAGCATTACAGTGGGAAAGTTGGATATTTTATACCAATCATTTTTACCTTGACAGCTTTAAAATATATGGATTTTGACTGCCAGAATTCTGCTCGCTGGAGAATTCTTGGAAATGAAATTCACACATCAAATTTCCCAAGATTGGAAAACTCTGTACCTTTTGAAATTTTATATCATATATTGGCTTGATGCACACTTTTAATCCCCAATTTATTTGGAAAATAAACTGTACTTCTCTTTTCAGGGACCAGATTGTTCTGTTGATGTTAATGAATGCCAGATTTATGAAGGAACATTCTTAGGATGCCAGAATGGAGCAACATGTATAAATAAGCCAGGGAATTACAGGTAATTCTAATGATCTTATGGGCAGCTTTTTGTATAGTACTTTTAAGTGCCACTTTTATATGAGAGAACATCTGTCCTAGTCAAGAGAACAGATGGATAGGAAGACATCAAATAGACATAGATGCTTTTCTAGGCCTTTCATAGTAGGACAGGTTCATGTTGCAGATCTCAAACTATATAATTTTACCTTTCACCATACAGGTAGTTTTTGATTTATGACTTGATTTATGATTTATTGCTGGAAATCAGAAATTAGCATTGTTTTTTTTTTTAAAGTGTTTTTAACTCATGATCATAGAGAACTAGCTGTACATTTTTGGCTTGATTTATAGATTCACTGGACTTTTCAAGAAGTCTAAGTATGTAACACAACACTGATGCATCACATTAAAACAAAGGCCTAGACAAATACTGTACAGCATGTACAGAGTTGGTATCAGCATATGACATTTTCTCATTTGAAAGTGCTAGGACAATTCATCATTGACCACTACCTCTGTTCTCCCTTTAAGGATGTTTTAAGATCAGATTTCAGAAACTTAGTCTTGGTCTTATTTTCCCCAGTGCCCATAACAGATCTCTGAGCAGCATCAAGAGGCAACATTCACCATTCTTATACTTTCCTATCATATTGTAGAATCAATACTATGAAGCACACCAAAAAGCTGGAACAGCTATTGTCTTACGTTTCCCAGAATAACTTTGAAGTAGATCCCAAACGCTATATGGATACTAGATTTGTTGTGCTTGATCTATTGTAAGAAACAAAAAATATAGCAAGACTCAGAAGCTTAGCCCTTCTGGGAATGCTGTCATTATCTTCAAGTTGTCTATGCCATGATTCAGTGACAGAAGGATCTTTTCTATCTGGATAGACACAACTTCCCTTTCATGGGGGGATAGAACTGACTACATGGGGGGGGGGGGGAATTCAATGTATTCTGTTCTGTATGTTTATAACAAATGTCATATATTACATTACACATTGCATTCTATGGATAGCCCTTTGGATTTAATTAGTTTAGTAACTTAGTTTAGCCTTTAGACTTAGTTCATTTAGTGACCATTAGAAGTTACAACACCACTGAAAAAAGTGATTTATGATGGGTTTTTTTACACTTACGGCCAGTGCAACATCCCCATGATCATGTGATCAAAATTGAGGCACTTGGCAATTTATGAAGGTTGCAATGTCCCAAGGTCATGTGATCACCTTTTGTAAACTTCTGAGAAGCAAAGTCAATGGCGAAGCCAGAATCACTTAACTACTGTGCTACTAACTTAACAATTGTAACGATTCACTTAACAACTGTAGCAAGAAAAGTTGTAAAATGGGGCAAAACTCACTTAACACGTGTATCACTTAGCAACAGAAATTTTGGAGTCAGTTGTGGCTGTAAGTCGAGAACCACCTACATATGTACAAAAACAAAGAAAAAAATTCAACTCTTCAACACTAAATAAATGTTCTCTCTTTATTCTCTCAGCTCTACCTATTTTTATTTTCCAGAAAAGCATTTGCATTATCCTTTTTTCTCAGAGTTCACCAAAATCTGGGCGAGATCTTGTTCATTAGTCATGATTCATTTATTTTGAGTTTTGATTTAAAAAAAGCCTGGCTTATAAATCTTCCTAACAAAACCTTTTAGATGAAAAGCATTTTTTTGTTTGACATTGGAAAATTATACTTAACAATAGTTTTATCTCTATAACAATAATTTATCTCTATAAATACCAAACAGACATTTTTTTTTGTTCTTTTGTTTTAGAAAATTTCATCATAGCGTAAAAATTTTTAAGTGAAGGCAAATTTAGAGCAACATTTATTTAAGATATATTTTTTTTGGTTGGTTATTCAGAGGTTTTCAGTGCTTTCAGTTTTAAAATTAAGATCTCTTACAATAAGAAGCAATAGAACAATAGGTATACCCACTAAACTGTTTAATCCATCAGTCTCCGTTTGAAGTCTTCTAGTGAGGGATAGCTAACTGAATAAAATAATATATGAATAATAAAGGCATGTGAGTGTGTGTGTGTGTGTGTGTGTGTGAGTGTGAGAGAGAGAGAGAGAGAAAATACAGAGCAAGTAAATTATCCTATCAGTTGATCAACATCAACATATTTTATTGCTCTACTATATAGCAATAAAAGATGATGATACTGATGAACTGATGGGATAATCTATTTGCTCTGTATTCTGTTTCTCTCTCTCTCTTTCTCTCTCCCTCTCTCTCTCTCACACACAGGAGGAGGGGAGGGAGGGAGGGAGAGAGAGGGAGAGGGAGTGTCACACTGGGAGAAGTTGGAGCAACCAATAAATTGTTAAAAGCCACAAATGGGTGAAGCCCCACTTTTTTCCTCAAAATTATTTTTCTTCCTGTAATTCTTTTTCTTCTATCCCTTATTTCCACCACCACCCCTCTCCTCAACCCAGGAAGAGCGCTAAATCAATTATTAGAGGCCTAAACTGACCTTTTACAGAGGCTTTTGAATGGGTGAAGAATAGCATGAAAGTTGGCCAAAGTTTGCAAGTTCCTCTCTCTGTTTAGATAATTGTGTCAAACAGCAAGCAGCTGTGCAAGATCAAGGAAGCAAGACTTCATTAAGTTATCTTTAATCCTACATTAGGGTAAATATTGAATCTTGGAAGCTGTTCTCGGATTTCTCCATCTTCATTCATAGTAAGATAAAGATTCTTTGAATGATATAACACTTCTTTCCAGATTTCCTATAGGTTAGGTTGCTATTTATGAAATACCAGCTGACCTACTCACTATCTCTTGATTATTCCTGTTCTCTTTCATTTGTTTCACAGCCTCCCCACAATTTCTTATAAATTGCTTCAGGGATTCAAATTATTCTTACTATAAAAATGAGTTTATTAATGTTCAGTTAGAGCCAACTTCTTATAATTTTAATCAAATTATAATTTTAATCAAATTAGATCCAGCCTCTGCCTCCTCTTGTAGCTAAAGGTCCTTTCTTACTCTTTTCTGTGAGACTATCCCTCATTGATGAAGAGACAGCTGAATCTGTCTTCTCACCTCTAATAATAATATTAATTTATTATTGTGTCTAGTACTTATTTCTGTATGAAGAACCAGCCTTGTTATTTTTTTCTAAGCCTGTTCAACTTTGTCTTCATCTTTTTTCAAAACCCTAAACATGATGCAGTACTCCAAATAAGCTATCACTCATAAGAAAAATATGGTTCAACAGTAGCTATGAGAGTTCTATACAGATAATCCTCAAGATATGACTATCATGGAGCCTGCCCATTATGGTTGCATATCATGTCAGTTGTTAGGTGAAACATCCCACCTAACACTCCCTCCATTCCTACTCTTTCCAATGAAATGTTGAAAATGTGGGTCACTAAGCAGAGCATGGGGTTCCTCCTGGATGGGGGAGACCATTAGTGGCCTAATACAGGCCCTGGCCCACTATGGTCTCTCCACTTCCGATATGCCCCTTGTTCCACTTCTCACACCTTGGATTCCAACAGGTCTTTTCCCACTCTCACTGGGTTCTCCCAAGCCTTAGCCCTGATTCACTCTCCACCAGGCCAAACACCTTTCTCCTTACTTACCTTCTGAAGAACTCTGAGGCTTTCCAGGTCACTGAAATAACTTCCTTCTTTGTGGCGGCCACATGGCACAATTCCAAAAACAGTTGCCATTTTGTTTCACAAAAATGGCAGCCGAATTTGGGTCATTGCCATGCAGCCCATTCTGTTGGCCTATCATGGTCTGCACAATGCTGCAGAAACTTTCTGCAGCATTCAGAAGCTTCTGCAGCACCGTGCAGACCTTTCTAAGGCAGCAAAATGAAGCATGTTAGGATCAATCACCCTTGTGCATCCTGGGGCCATGTAGCCTGCTGTCCTTCTACAATATGAGGTCCAAAACACTTCAAACAGTAAGTAAGGGGCATGATGGATGTGTGGGGAGGAAGTCCATGTGTTGCAGGGTTCCAGTAGGGGAGAAAGAGGCAGGGGGTGCTGCAGCAACCCTGTGCTGGCTTGTAAGGGTAAATAACCAGAGAACGACTGCAGCTGTCATAACTTTTAAATTGGATCCTATGTAGCTTTTGGGGCTCTGTTGTACATAATTTGGAGCATTCATTAAATGGCTTGTTGTACCTCAAGTACTACCTATATTCAAGGGATCTCATGCAACTTATTTCTAGGTGTTGGACATAGAATAAGCATGGATATTATTCTCTGTACTTTCTCTGAAGGACTGCCATTTGAAGCATAATTTGGGCCTAGAAACTTTTGATCTTCATTATTTTATGTGCCAAAAGAATTGAAAAGTTTGAACTGGGAATTTTTCAAAGCAACAGAATGAAGAGAGCTCCAAAAGTAAAACATATGCTACCACATGTGTAGTAGTAGTAAAATAGAAGTAATGCAGAAAAAAACCTAAAAGACTGATTAAAGAATAAATCTATTGCAACACAACTTGCACTGAGTCATAGCTTCCCTAAAGTTTGTACAGTGGGTGTCGGCTTCATAAATCCCTGAGCTTTATACATACAGGACCATAAAATTACAGGTTTACAAATTGGAAAGGACTTGGAAACTGTCTTGCTCAGCTTTATCTCAGTGCAAAATATCAAATGTAGAATGTTGTTATAGCATCTCAGACAAAAGGCTATATTTAGCCTCTGCTTAAACATTTATCACAGATGAAGGCTCCTGAAAAGACTCTTGAGAACATGTAGAATAGATGATGTAATGATATTTTTACTTTTATTTGTACATATTTGAATATATTATTTCTATACATGAATATATTATTGATGGCAGACTCCACCTTCCCCACTTGCTCTCCACTTATCCATCCTCTGGTGATAATATTGATGTATTATTCTTGTTGTGTTCTTTTGTCATTGTTTATTTTATTGTTCTATTATTATACTTCTGTTTATGCTTTTTTCATATTTCTTTTAATTACTATAATATTCTTAGAGTAGCTTCTTAAGTGAGATAGGTGGCAAATATATTTAACAAATATTAATAAATTTAAACAATCATATTTTATTCTCATATAAATATATGAATATTCATACAGTTATAAATTCATGTAAATTTGTCATTATCAGCCAATGTAATAAATCAATTCATCATTGGAAAATCAATGAGATAAATGCAGGCTGTTTTATACAAGGGGACTGATCAAATTATTTCTATTCAATTTCACATACATTACCTCATAAATCCATTCCATTCCATTCCGTTACTATATCAACCTGCATTTTAAATTCATTCTTCTGCGTTTATTCCTCTGATTTTTTTAAAAAATAAAACATGTTTTTAAAAACATGTTGTTTTTAAGCTAAAGCTATATTACAATATTTGGAAACATGAAAACTGAAAGTAACTGTTTTTTGATTATTTAAAAGTGATAAAAACCATTCTACTATATGTTTTTTCAGTCATATGAAAGAGACCACATTCTAGCTGGGAAAACATTTTTGTTTCTATCAAATAGGAATTTTCTCTAAGAATATAATGTTTTATTTCAAGGTGTAAAAATGAAGAATAGAAAAAATACCAAGGCATCATGTTTAATTATGTGATGATTTGTTTAATGGCCAGAGTCAAAAACTGATCAACTGGCGTAGTTAAGTCAGGAGTGATCATGTGATGTTTCACTATAAAATTGCATCATTTAGTGATAGAGTTACTGGCCCCAACTGTGGTTGGTAAGTGAGGACTACCTGTACTGTAAACACAATTAAAAATGATGAATCTGCCTGAACCAAAATCTTACACTGAAAGGAAGGAATATTTATATGAATTCATTGTTGTTCTTTCAAAAGTTGCATCTGTACACCAGAAACATACGGACAGTACTGCACATCAGAATTTGATGATTGTCAAGGAGGATCTTCTCTTCTTTGTGGGCATGGGGTTTGTGTGGATGGAAACAGAGAACAGCACAATCAGGTAAGCAAGAGAAGCCTTGTATCAAGGGTAAACCTGCCAGGAATACTTTATTTAGATATGTGTGGAGTTATACTCAATTGCCCAAATAACTTTTTCCAAAACTTTGAGATATACAGCAATGCAGTTGCTGTACATCCAATTTCCTGGATGTAAGTCTCATTTCATTCCATTGTCCTTTCTGTTCTACTGAAGATTCCATTATCTGTGGAACTTAATCAAAATCAGCCTTAGCTAGCCTGGGAATAATAAAATTTGATTTATATTTATTTGGTTAAACATGTAGCACAGCATTTTCTTAGAATACTGTGTCAGTATCCTTCATCAACCTAAGAAAAAGCTGTAGTGGAAGAAGAAATCTTCAGTGAAGAAGGTCTCCATTAGTAGAAAGTATCTCTGCCTGATTGTGGAGGATCTCCACTCCACTTATTCCAAAATTCCCCAGATTTTCTTAGTAGCATTTGGAGAAGGTTATGCAGACTGCTGGAGGAAAGAAGGGACAGGAAATTTTGCTTTCAGAAATTGACTTCTATAAGCTTCTATCCTCCTGCGTATTCTCCAGTTCTCACCATACTTTAGCAATATTTTATATGCATATTTTTTAATTAATTCAATTTTTCCCATGTTTTTAATTGCTACAAAATGTACAGCATTCATACTTTGTTTAAAAGGTGAGTCTCCAAAATGCTTTGAGCTCTTACTCAAATATTTTACTTGTCATTGTAATAACTATACTTGCTGTTTTGCAACAGACGTGATTTCAAAGATATCACTATACTATTTGATATGTAGTAGAATCTAACTTTGTCTTCATGATTGTACTTATGTTTAAATCAGGAACCCATTTGATAGCTGCAAGTCTGAATGAGCAATTTTTATTTTACCTGCTTTTTCAGATTATAATTACATAATTTGCCAAAAATAAATCAGCTAATGTCAGATTGGTGTGTTTCTTTCTGCAAGTTTAAGGTGTATTTGTTGTTCTACCTCTATTTAGTTCATTTCATGATGTTCATTTCAGAGAAAAATATGGGTTTTCTTTTTCTAATATCAATATCTTTCAGTGCAAGTATGCACTAAGCTTTAATTGTTAGAGGAAGGAACAGAAAACCTGGGTAAATAAGATAAACTGAAATTGCATCAAGAATTTTGACATGTCAGATTCCAGAAGAATGCTTGGTAATAGTATTAGTGCTAATAGAAGTAACTCTTTTAGGAACATTTACAGTTATTTTCATGTTTACCTTATTTTAACCTGGCAGCCTAGTTATACTTGCATCTGTGATGATGGCTGGATGTCGCCTCCAGGGAGCCTTGCTTGCAATGCTGACATTGATGAATGCAGCCTTCCAAACCCACCTTGTTCAGTGAATCCTCCTGTACGGTGTATCAACATGCGAGGCTTTTATTTTTGCGATCCATGTCCAGCAGGTAAGCAATATTTCATAAATGTCCTCTTATTTGTTTCTCATGTGGTTTAGCATTGGCATTACAAGGAGTTTCATGGTGCAATCACCTTCTTTCTGAGATGCTGTTTTCAAACTTTATATTGCTTTGTTTGGGTATTCCTTTAAAAATAGCAGCTCTTTGAATGAGAATTGGAGTGGTCTAGTCTGGAGAAAAATAAGTCTCGTTTGGTCATATTCAAACATAAGACTAACCTAGCATTTTTAAAAAAAGTTATTTGATAGTTGGGAGCGGCATGGAGTATAGCTACCAAGATATTAATGAATTTGAAACAGGTAATGAAAGTTGTTAATCTTCCCCAATTGTTGTCTTTACACATTGGAATATTTTTATTGTAGTCATTGTCCACCTGTTAAACAAGTCTATATTAATTAGGTTCACCTTATATTATTGTGTGTGTGTTTGTATGTATGTGTGTTTATATATCTTTCCATCCTTCCTTTACAAATCTGGAACAAATGTATTCTTTTTAATTCCCTTTTTTTGTGTTCCATATATATAATCACCCAACACATAACTGTATTTATATGATTTAAAAAACAGTCCACTGTGTTTCCATACTGATTATTAGAGGAACAATATTTTTTTCATTTCTGAATGAAATACAACATGGTGTTATATCCTATTCCATTTGGCTTGATTGATCATCTGAATAGATTGTATCCTCTCACCAACAAGAATAGTTTTCATCCTTGATATCCATGTAGTGAATTGTTAAATGCAAAAATTATATCTAATAAATTGAAAGGTGCAATACGTTTTGAACTAGTTGTATTATATAAGCTATTCTTCCAGTTCGTACATGTAGCAAAAGCCTTGAACAGAAAGATTAACTCATAAAATAAAGTAACTTTTTTCAAGATGTTAGCATGGTCAGTATCAGAAGTTGGAATTACCAGGCATTTGTGGATTTCAATAACAGAGAGAATGATTGATTATCAGGGCTCACTAGCTTGTTCTTCTATACATCTCCAATTGAACACTCACTCAATCATTTTAGCTAGAAGAAGAATGTCAATCAATAGTACTATATGAAACAAGGGAAGTTTTTTCTTAGGAAAAGACCCATCTGGAGAACAGGTCAACCATTGAAGAAAATAAAAAAGGTTGTTGAGGACATCTTGTTCAACAGATATTGGCCAGAAATCTCTCTGATTTCTATACTTAACAATCACAATAGTGTAAGAATAATACAGACTCAGTTCAGAGAAAGGGCAAATGTCCAGGGGAAAATAATCATAGATTTCATACATCTTATAAAAAGAGAATGAAGAATGCTTAGCTTTGAGAAGAGAAAGCTGAAGGTGGGGTAGGGCTCTTCAAATACTTTGGAGGAAGTGACAGAGAAGAAATCCAAAGCTTCATTTAATCTTGCATCATTTAATAATTTGTATCATCCAAGGCAGAAAATAATGGATTTTACAGGTTAAAAGAAAGTAGATCTTGACTGACTTTTAAAAAATTATATCTAATTGTAAGTTCAAACAAATGGCTCTGGAAGTGTTCACAACACCAAGAATGGAATTTCCTTATTTGGGAATGATTGAATATCAGTTACTATACTAACACAAGATGAATTAAAAAGGAACAGTATTTAATTAAATATATTTATAACAGTATTTTAATTTTAATTTCTGCACTATGAAAGGCTTGTACTCTAAATTTAATGGCCCCTTCCAACTCTAAGATACTAAGACAAAATATAATTTAAATTAATAGGTTAACATGATGTCTGTTACTTTTCTCTTTTCACATCAAAAATTATTGTTCAAAAACTGAATAAATTAATGGTGCAAATTACATTCCTTTTTGAAGAATTTCCTTCCATAACAGCAGAAGGGGCACATATTACTGTATTTAGTTGAAGGTTACCAAATTGTTTGCATGTCTGTTTATGGAACAGTTCATCAAGCCATGTTCCTCATGGATATTACCATACTGTTCCTTTGTAATGCATCTTGTGTTAGTATAGTAACTGGTATTTTGGCAGAGACACAAGGATGTCTTGAATCTATGAAGTGCAGTATTTAATACAGTTAGAGTCATAAATTTGATTCTGTTGACCACATTTCCTCCTCATTTATATACTGCTGCAAATTAATTTAAATGGATTGTAATGATGTCAGGGCAATCTGAGCCTCTTCCTAGAATGTAGAAATTTGTGAAACAGTTTGCATTTGGCAAAGAGTTCCCTCAACACTGTTGTCTAAGGGAAGTATTTATTTTTACTTCACCATCACATGCTATCACTGCATGTGTTTACTGTTTACTGTTTTGTTTAAACCAGGCTATGAAGGTGATGGGAAAGTATGCACATTGATTAACATATGCTCAGTCGACAATGGGGGCTGCCATCCACTTGCTGTATGTAACAACATATCAGGTAATATTGAAAACAACAACACTAGGTTTGTAGGAAGGCTATATCTAGCCAGCAAACGTTTCCCTTTCTTTATATAAAATAGTGTTTCTCAGTTTTAGGAATTTGAAGATGTGTAGACCTCCAATTCCCCAAATTTCCCACATATCCTAAAGATGATAGAGGTTGAGGAAAAATGATCTTCAAGACAAGATGGTACCCAATTTTCATTCTGTATTCCAAAGCTGGCAGTTAAATCTTAACTTCCAGAGCACTGAACTGGTTCATCTGACAAACCTTACTTAGAGTGCACAGGACAGACCACATAATTGGCACAAGTGTATCCTTCAGGTGGGCCCTGAAACAAATGAAATGAGAGCCAATCTTCAGGGCTGATCTTGGAGGAGTGCTCAATGAAAAGGGAAGATTATGAAATTGAACTAGAATCCTGAAATCTCCATTCAGCCAAAAAGATACGAGGGGTTTCTCAATCTTGTCAACTTTAAAATGTGTGGACTTTTAATTCTTTTAATTTTAAAACATTGAAGTTCACACATAAAGTTGTCAAAGTTGAGAAACTCTGCCTTAATGGAACTTCTCCATTCTGATCGGAGGTTGGGGGCATCCATTTTATAATCTTTTAACTTCAATATAGAAGGAAGAGGTCTTCTATATTGGTCAATATATTCAATATAGTCTTCCAAAATATATAGAGAGATTCCAATAAAACTTTACACTCTTCATCTGATTTATACAACAAAGAAGCTTTGTACTGAGAGCTAGCCCCAAACATTGTACTATATGAAGAGGAGCAACATGCTGGTGTCTCCTAATATCCATTCAAAGTTTATGGAATACAATTCAAATTTCTTTGGGAGGGACTTCCAAATTTCAGTAACGCCTCAATTCATCTTTTTAATAAAAAATACAGTAATAATGTTATTACAGGAGCCGTGGTGGCACAATGGTTATAATGTAGTATTGCAGCTAATTCTGTCCAAGTCAGGAGTTCAATCCTGACTGACTGAAAATTGACTTCCATCCTTCCAGAGTTGGAAAAATTGTTTACTCAGATTGATGTGGGCAATATGCTGTCTCTGTAAATTGCTTAGAGGGTGCTGTAAATTGCTTAGAGCAGGGGTGGACAAACTTTTTGGCTCGGGGGCCGCATTGACTTTTAAAATTTGACAGACGGGCCGGGTCAGCATAAGATTTTTTGGGAATTGCCCCCCCTTCCCCCCCTCTTCTCCTCCTTCCCCTCCCCTCGGAGGCCCCCTGAGTCAGGAGTTGCTACCGCCGGCGCGGCTCCAGTCCCGCGTTGCCTCGGGAAGGGAAAGGCAAAAAGGAAGAGCCGCGGCGGTGCTTTGCAACGGCAGCAGCGGCACCGGAGGCTCAGGCTCAGCGGCTCCTGGTTTTGCCTTTCCCTTCCCAAGGCAAAGCGGGACTGGAGCCGCGCGGAGCTGCGCCGGCGGTAGCAACTCCTGACAGCCCCAGCCGGACACCTGAGTGGAGCCCGGGCGGAACTGCCTGTTGCTGCTGCCGGAGCACTGCCGGGTTGCCTCCTCCAAGCAGCCCGCCTGCCCGCCGGGCTTCCCCTCTGCTGTGCGGCTCGGGGCCAGGCGCGAGCGCCTGCGGGGAAAAAGGAAGCCGCAAGTTACTGGGAAGTTGCTCGGGTTTCCGGGGCTTCCAGGCTTAAACTTTGCACAGGCAAAGTTTTCAGGCGGGAGCGTCTTCCCGCCGAGGAGCGGGAAGGGTTCCACCCGGCGGGCAGGTGGGCTGCTTGGAGGAGGCAACCCGGCGGCGCTCCGG